CATCCTTGGAAGTTTATATGCTTTTACAGTTAAAGATGTGAATGATTAATGTTTCTGCTGTGCTTGGCTATGAATCCTTATTTGAATCCCTGATTTTTTTCTTTCTTATATCTCTGGCTGTAGCAAATAAGGTGTTTAAGAGAGAGAGGGGAGGAAAAAGTGTAGAATGCGATTTTCCCATTAGTTGCACTTCAGATGAAATAATATTCCTGCAAGCACATGTTTCTGTTTGAGTTTCTACCTTGCCTGTGAACTGTGACAAAGTACAAAACTATCACCTGTAGTCTTCTGTAAGTAAATCCAAACATAGACATCTTGAAAGTTGAAGCAAGACCAAGCTGTCAAGATTTAAGTTTTAATACAATCTTTATTAACTCTAGTATTATTTTCTCTTAAGTTCAATTAGACGTTTTTGGGGTATTCAAATGAGGTATTCCCCTGGGAGACACATTTGACCCCTTCTGGTGGCCAATATCGTTTAAAGAACCCCTGAACCTCTCTTGTCTCCCTCTATCATGGTGCAGAGAGGCTCCTGCTTGTGGGAACCTGCTTCTTGCAGCCCTCTTGACTCATCTTCTTTGCCTGTTGTCAGGGGGTGAACTCCCTGAGGTGGTGGTCAAAAAATTTGAAAAGTTAATATCATAGTCCCACACTGGGTTCAGAGTTTTGTCCAGGTCTTCAGAGACAACATTGTCTATCCTGTGTGCAAGCAACTAGTTCAAATTACTGATCTGAAAACAACAGGGTGTGACTCATCTAAGTGCAGGTATCTACACTTCAGATGAAATGCATTTTCCCAAACAGCCACCCACATTTTGCTGTGATTCATCTGCTCAGGTGCTATATCACCATCCCAGCAGCGGAAAGCACCACCTCTCCTTTGCCTGTTGACAGAGTAATTTTGCACAGAGCCCTTAACTCAGGTATCCGATGGGGTGAACACCGTCTGGGAGGGGCAAGGTACCACTGTGGAGATGCCTCACCTCTGCTGCCAATCGAAATCAGAGCAAATAGGAGACTAGAAATTGGTTTTAGAATGAATGCAGGAATAAAATTGCTCTGCTGGGTCTGCTCTCAGGAGGTAGATGCCTTGCATTTGTGTAGCAGGCACTACCTTGAACAGAGCTACCATCCTCGAAGGCATGGAGTTAGTGGCCCACATGATACTCATAAATTCTACCTGTCGTATTTCTTCAGTGATGGGGCAAGGAAGATTCAACATTTGTCATTTTCATCTGTTAGGGGGAAAAGTTTTGTCTGCTGTTTTTGTCATAAATACTGAGCTAGAGCAGGAGAACACATTTTAATTAAAAAACCGAAACAAAACAAAAAAAAAAAAAACAAAAAAACAAAAACAAAAACAAAAAAAACACAAACAACCCAAAACAACCAAACAAACATAATTTTAGACATTGTTTTCCAAGATGAATCCTTTCTTTGCCAAGATGTTTGGAATGAAGCTTTCATGTGGGAAAAACATTAAAAATAATCTGTGAGCTTACAGAAGAGGAGATGGCAGCAGTCTTGATGGGGCATGAAACCGTTCTGTTCTGCCTTGATAATGTCTAACTTTATACCAGCATCTGTGCTCTTATTCCACTGCTGCCATAGCAAAAGGACTTGCTTTTGTGATTGTTTGCCATAGTCAACCTCTTTTAGAGATAACTGTCTTCCTCCAGGTGCTTGTCATGTCTCCATAGACTGGATCACCTCAGAGCGCAGTTTTGTGCTGCTCTGGGGACTGACTGCACAATTACTGAATCCTCAGCCCTCACAGTGATTGTTTTGTAAATAATTCCCTTCTTTAAAAGTTGATCACTCATACACTTCCTGAAACAACTGTGCAGAGGAAATAACTCTCTGAAACTGTGATTATGTCTGCCACATGACCCAGGAAGGAAAAATTGCCGGATTGTGAGCAGCATCAGGTCACAGAGGCAGTGGGCTGGCTCCACGGCCATCCCCGGCACACCACCGGCCTGCCAGCTGAGTGTGTTGGAACAATATTTGTTTCAGTGCAGTCCATGAGCTATTCCGTTTTGAAGCAGGAAGGGTGGAGTGGCAGTCTATTACAGAGCTCTGATGCTCAGCAAAGCTGACATCTAACGGCTTGCTGTAGATGGAGGGATGAAGCTGGGTTTCCGATAAAAGGGAAAGGAGCTAAAGGGGTGTGTGTGTGGCTCCATTAAAATCCTTGCCTCAGGCTTTTTCTCCCTGCTTCAGAAACTCAAATGGATATGGCAATCCATGTGCCGTAAGGAGGACTACAAAGGTAACTATAAATGTGGTGGAATGAGAATTTAAAATAGTGAATGTGCAGTGGTTGTGTAAATGACAGACTACAGATTTGGTTTTTCTAAATACATTAGCATGATAGGTAAAGCAGGCTGACAGTGTTGCTAAAACCAACACTGGAGCATTTGTACAGGGCAATTGATATCCCTTCCGGCCACAGTTCCCAATGTCCGATGAAGAAAATGTTTTAACAGAAATTCAGTTTATATGCATGAAGTAGAGGAGGTATTTGCATTTCTTATAACAAATGTGCTTTTCTGTTTGCAAGTATGTGTCAGGTGAATTTTTTCTTCTTTGTAGGAAAGGCAAAGACTACTGTAATAACCCAAAAGAAAGAGGTGTGGTGGTAAGGCACTGGCAAGTGAATCAATCATCAACTACAGCTGGCTAGCTAAGGCAGAGGACTGTCTCAGGATGACTGATTGCAGGCTACAAAATGAACATACGTGTATGTGTGCGGTCTGAAATACGAAAAAAATGTATTGAATAAGTGAAACGTAGTATTTATAACCCTACCCCAACAATTTATAACATAACTGCCTCCTACTATAGAGGGCAGAACCATAATCAAGAATATTTCCTTCTGTTAGAAGTGAGATGAGAGAAGGGTTAATGGGTTTCCTTTAGATTTTGGCAGTTATTAGCAGTTACTGTTTATTTTGTATCAAGCAGAAGGTACTTAGTGTTCAAGTTTAATAGTGATGATGATCTAACCATGAAGAATAGGATCCAAACCAAAAATTAGCATGCTTTTTTTAACCTATGATGCATTTACTTTACTTTTACTAAAAAAAAAAAACAAAAACATTTTAGAAAGTAATTGAAAAGGCTAGAAATACAAAAGACCAGATTAAGGTTATGGAAAGCTTAAATTTGCTCACATTGTTCGTGGCTGGGAAGGAATATCACATCCCTGCTTGCAGACCAAGGTTTGTTTTACCAGCCAGAGTGAGCATTGCCCACCGGGCCCACAGCCCCGTCTCCAAAGGCTCTGCAGGAAAAGGCCCAGAGTCAAGGTTTTGCTTGAAGCTGCATTGATCCAACTCCACCAAGCGCATGAGAGAAATGATGGCAAATTCCTCCCCCAGACAGAACAATGCTATTTACTACAAGATGTGGTCTTCAGAAATCAATCAGTTTTGTACTTTTCAGTAAATTCAGACTGTTCTAAATTAAATTGGAAAAACTGACTGGTATGGAAGTAATTTTTCAAAGTAAATTTCTGCATAGATCCCTGCAATCATTTCAATGCAGATTTCATGAATGTGTTTCATTAAAGGGATTCTCATGAGGAATTAGTTTCAAAATTTGCTAATATGTCAGACTCTAAGGATTCCCATAACTATATCCCTAGCCTTTCTATATCTATCCTTTTTTTTCCTCCCGTCTCTTTGCCTGTATTAATAAGCGTTTCTAAACCGCATGTTAGTGTAATCGTCTGGCACACTTTACAAATTACAAATACAATTTTGTTTTCTTCACATTTGTTCAGTCCCTTATTCTTACCTTTCATTACCTTTAAACATATTACCATTATGCTTTTTTAATAAAGAAAAGTCTAAACACAGATGGTATCCAGATATTGCACCCTGGCCATGCCATCTCTTATGTTTTTGAACACGTCTTCAGACAAAAGCATGTGCTACAAGAAGTGATCGTCTCCAAACCCACACATTGAAAGAACTCCCAAATTTCTGAAAAGATGACTTTCCAGCAAGGGATCAGGACTTTTAATGTGGTTGGTAGATAAATCAGAGAAGGATCCTACTTGTGGTGAGTGGCTGCTAGAGACTTTACCGTTCAGTGTCCAAGAAATCATGGCCTCGTGCTGCCTTGAGTCTCTTCTGTAACTCTGCTAGACTTTGTGTGCTGGTGGGCTGCAGACACATTTATTGACCATAAAAAGAAGGGTCTCTAAGACAGTAAGACACATGGAAATGTGAAAAATGTAGCTGTTTGAACATTACTCTCTTGGTGAGTTATTCTCTGAAATTCATAGAGAACCTGACCTAGGGTTAATGAATGTATTTTTTGTCTTTAAGGTGCTGCTTACTTCGGTCTTTGGCTCACAACTGTGTACTAATGAACTAGAAAACATTCCAAGAAAAAGCTTGAGTTTTGATAAAATATTCCTTATTCTCTTTTCTGTGTAATGAAATTGTTCTGTGTTTTGTTTTCCTGAAGTTCATGAACTTACTTGCATGAAATAATCTTGCTTAAGTTCTTGCTACTGAAATATCAGCCTGAGTTTAGTGATCTTTCCAAGAAAGGAAAATAAGATACCCTTATATTTTGTCACTGTATTTCACATTGCGTATAATTACTTGAACAGTGCTCATGAGAGAGGTAGTTGATACTTTACTATATAAAATGTTTTATTTAAGAAAAATATTATTTTCCTAAAAAGAAAAGTCTTGTTAGAAAATTTTTAAACTTCAGTAATTTGACTGAGCAGTTGCACTCAACAACTGGAAATTTTCTGTGATAAAGTTCCTCTTTCCTTTGAGCTGGCTCAATAATATTTAGATGAATAAAACAAAAAAAAAGATGCAATGTGGGGAACTGGTTATACAAGATTTCCTGAAGAACATATACAGTGGGTGTCATTAAAAAGTACATCCTTTCTTTATTGAAATGTGTGTGATGTTTCACCATGGGCGATTTTATAAATATTAGAGATTGAATTTTTTACTTCTGTTGGTTCTAAAATGTCCCTGTATTTTTACTAGGAGATATGCCTTTCACAAACATATTTCTCAGAAAATGATACGTATAAAAAAAGCAGTTACAGAAGAAAAATGTATAATGTTACAATGATCACCTTCAAATGTAACAAGTTTTGGAATAACACATAATTACATTTTTTAATTGAGAGATTCACACATTTTGGTACATCACATGTCAAAAAGACTGCAAAACAAAAGAGTATCTAGGTAAAGAAAACTGAAGTTCAATCTGGGATTGTGTGGTCAGTTGTTGCCATACCCATCTCGTTAGCTGTTTTACTTTTTTGGTACCAAGTGTCCTTTGGGGCAGCTAAGCTAAGAGAATTTGTTGCAGGAGGAAATGTTTGGTTTCAGAAGCAGAAGCAAATCAGAGAAAGGTGGAGAAGGATATTGAGTAGCCTAACCTTTCCTCCTTCAGGAGAGGAAGATACTTATAATTTTACAGCTTTATCTGTTTCCAATGTCTGAAATAATGGGGCTTCAATTCGTTGCCCTTCAAAGATTTTTTTTTTTTTTTTTTTCTTCCTCATTCAAATCTATCCATCAACATTGTTAGGCTGTAAAAATAACTCTCAAATTATTTAAAAAGAAATTTGTCCTCTCTTTTTGGAAACAATTATCCATAGAACTTTTGCAGATAATGTACATCAGCTAGCTTAGGTTTATTCTTTCAGAACAAGAGTAGTGTGCGATTTAATGAGTATCACATTTCAAATCCTTGAAAAACACTCATACAAGGCCTTCTGAACTTCCAAAAAATAGGCATTTCTTGTAAGTCTGAAATACTTGAATTTTGAAATGCTCCCTACAAAAAGTAAGCTTATTTCAGGATTGTTAGCAATGCTAGGGCACACTGATTGCCTAAAAAATACACGTGTTGCAAACTTCCATTTAATTGTATGTTACACCTATTCTGCAAGATGCTAGATGTTTCTGTGATCATCTTCGAAGTAAGAATAAATAAGGTATCCATTCCGAAAATGTGTGTACCTAGTTTGAAACATTTGAATAACTTGTTGAAGTCTTCTGCACTCAGATTAGGCAATAATTTAGCATTCTGTTGGACTGAAGATTTCAGTATTTTCTATGGATAGTTTCAGTGCCTGCCCGTAATTATTCAATAACAATAATCTTACTGACATAAGTATACTGAATATTGGAACTTTAAAAATGCAGTGAAAAATTTCCCAAGCCATCGCTGTCTTATTAAGGAAGGACCAAGTTATCAAGTTGATTTTCCTCCTCAGTGTGGAAATGCCCTGGTTTAATCAACCTATTTCAAGTTGGATGGGCTGGTTGACTGGTTTATTTCTTCCTTCCTTATTTTGAACTAATGTTCATTAGCTAATAATTTGGTGATAAAAATAGTAATAAAGGCCAAATGAGGCAATAAAAGCTAGGTAAAAATACCATTAAACGATTTCGTGCAATCCAAGTAGTTTGCTTGTGAATGCAGGACCCAACATTAGGCTCTCCAGCCTTCCAAATAAAGTCTTTCGAAGAGCCCTTTAAAACTAATGCAAAGTAGGTTTCAGCATTGACAAATGCTAATTTTGGAGTTTATAAGTAATCTAACAGTGAGATCTAACAGTGCTACAGCACCTAATATCTTCAGTTCAAGATCTAAGAGGCAAAGTAGCACTGCAAATTTTTATATCCTGCTTAATAGGTATGGGCTAGGGAAGGTGGAGAGGGGGTTATTTATGTGCAATTACTAGTTATAGAAGGTTTATTTTCTTTTATGGACAAAATTCATAACATTTGTAAAGTAAAAAAAAAAATTCTAAGTGTATGTTTAGAATTATTTTTGCGGATGTAACAGTTGTCCCTTTGTGGTGAAAAGATGAGTACGTGATAGAACAGGGGTTCTTAATTCAGTTTTTGTGGCCTTGGATAATCCAGGCATTCAAATGTCACCTCTACCTAGGAGTACTTGAGTATCTTCAGCCTTCCTAGAGGGGCTTGGTGCTCTTCTACCGAGATGACATCCCTATCTGCACATTTTTACAAAAGCACTTTCAAGCTCACTGAATTCACAGGTTATTCTAATCAACATTTAATATGTGGTCTCTGTCCCATATTACCTAAAAATAAGACTGTATTGTAGTAAAATAGAATTTGTTAAGCTTGAATTCCAGGATTTGAAAAAATGCAGAGGAGTGAAAAGAATAAATTTATATATCTGAGGAGATTATTTTTAAAGAGACGTTTCCTGTCGCTTTCTTGGAAAAAAGGTAGGCATTTACAGGATTTTCTTTGACTTGATTGAGGAAAAAATCAGTAATATAAGTACATGAGTTTTACGTGTCTGAGAAGAAAAGGAAGAGACATATTTAGTAGCTACAGGGTTGGTGCAGGATTTAATTTAATTCACTGGTGTTCATATATTGTTCCATTGCAAACCAGTTCCAAAAAATGTGGTTTGGCTACCAGGTCTGAACAAACCTCAAGCTTTGAGAAACAGACTTAGAAAAAAGATTAAGCATATAACCAAAACCTTGGGCAACTATTTCTAATGTTATGAAAGCTATAGCTAGAGTGGGGTTTAGTTGCCAGATAAATTCAGTTATTTCTATAAGTTAAAATTATATCTAACATTTCTATCACTACATTGGATCTCTGTGTAGAAAGTACTAGCGTAAGCCCAAGCATTTTTCTTTAACATCAACTGTTTGGCCTGACAATTTTTTAAATTTATTATAGCTCATACATAAAATACTTAAGGTATTTACCATTGCTTCATGTGTTTGTCATTTTTAGGTAGAAATGCAAAATAATCAAGAACTGTCCTGATGCAACTTTGCCTTTGCTTCTTGTTTGCTATCTTTTTATCCCAATAGGAATTTGAAAACATTACTTGATTTCTTGATTTCTGAAATGTACTGCTTCTAACTTCTGCAGCATTTCTGTTTTCAGTCCTCACCGTTTCAATTAAATTTTGCTTTGATTTTGTCATTTTCTGACTGAACGAGTCAGTATTTAGGATCAGGATATGTATGCAAGACAAACCTCATATTTCTCCTTCCTGTTTTCAAGGAAACTGGGAGGGGCTCAGCAGAAGGAAGCAGTGACTGCTGCCTTGTTCTAACCATGAACAATAAAACTCAGGTTCATTTGTTCTTACTGAAGACTTTGTCATGCTATCAGGACTCAGGCTAATTGAATTGCTGCCCACTTTTTTCTCTATAATCCTGTTTTACCATTCTTTACTTGTCAACAGGACTTAGTGTGGCAATTTGCCATGGCTGCGTTCTGGATGTTTCACCTGGGATTTCTTCTCTGCTTGTGTCATAATGAAATTAAACCAGTTAATTCTTAACTTCTACTGTAAGCATTACCCCAATTATTTTTTGTAGGTTGCATAGTTAAGACACAATTACAATTCATGATCTGTTCTTCATGTCAAAATACTTTCTCTCATTTGATTTCAGTTCAGCTCTTTGTAACAACTGAAGATCACAGTAAATTAAGATTTTAAAAAATTATTTTCCTTGATAGAAACAATCCATTAACTCTTGAGGCTGAGAAGGAACTAAGATGAACAGCATATTTCAGAATTAAACATGCTGCTCTGCTAGTAGTGGAAGTTTGCTATCCAGATAATAGGACAAAATCTACTTTATCTGCCATGCCCCAAAAGAAAACAGATACCTGGTATCAGATGTGGAGAAAAAAATTCCCCTACTTGAAGAATGTACAGACTAACACAGGCTCTTGGCTTTTCCCATGAAAACACACCTCTGGTGAAGTCTGATCTCTGAAGTCAGGCACCATAAATGCCAGTCCAAGTCTCACGTGCTCAATGTGACAAAAATGGTCTCAGGATGCAGCTTCAGGAGTCCCTTTGCTGCCTCTTCACTTAATTTCCCTACTAAATTGCTGTAAAGTCTTTCTGGCAGTCTCAGAGATGGGAAAAGACCATTAATTATGACCATTTGTAATGGCAGAGACCTACAAAGAAATGCTTAGTGAAGTCTCATACCATCTGAATCTCAGTCACCCAGCAGCCACAGGGTACATGCTTTCCTCCTCTTTGTACACTGCTGCGCCAAATCTGCAGAGAAGGAAGAGAAGGACTTAGTGCTCCTTAGAAATTTAATTTGCTGTCCATGGGGAACACAGTGATGATGGCTTTTGACTTTTACATGAGTAGACTGCGATCTAAATGTTTCTCATCAGGACATGTCGCGTCATTAAATTTTAAAACATTTCTGAAGAACATTATGGTGCTGATTTTTGAATGCTGATCTCCAACATTGCAGAGGATGAGAGGTTAAGCACTGGGCTCAAGTGTTTAACAACTGGACATAAGTGTGAAGTATTTTAGGAGTTCGGAGAGAGACAGAGTGTGTTTTATGGACATAACTACTGATGCAAGTTAGCTGGAAGGTAGTATAGGAAGAAGGAGGGCACCGCAGCAGGAATTAAGACTACATGGTAGTATAGATTTTTCACTTAAAAAATAACAAGAAAAATCATTCTGTCATAATTCTATTGTCTTTAACAGACCTGGCATCAGTTGCCTACTTGGTCAGCTCCTTTACAAGCACTGTAGTGAAGTTGTGTGGCTTTGTAGAAAAGATTGAGGAAGATGTCCCAAACCTAAATGAAAGTGGAGATCAAAACATAACTCTCCTGCAAATTCATGGTAATCCCCACTAATGGAGCAAAAAGAGATTAACTTGCTGGGACACTGAAAAATAAATTGCCAGCAAGCAGTTGCCTTGTAGAGATACTCAGTACTCAGGTTTCAAAGCCAGGATTATTTTGAATTTTTTTCTTCCTTAATCATAGATTATTAAATCTAAATAAATTGTCAAAGGACAACAGGTTATTAAGACCATATTTAAAATGGCATTTCAAGGCCTGTACAGAAATTTGTGAAGAGAAATTAACATGATATAAATTTCTCTGGCATCATGAATAGGATTATTTTTCAATTTAGGTGTTTATCTACCCTTCTAAGAATTATTTTTACATTATTAACATTTTCTAAGGTTAAAGCTGATAGAAAAGTAATATAAAAATGAGAACTAAAGAAAAGTCTACAAGGATCAACTGAGAAATATTACTTATGCTTAGCACTGGTTATTTAAAAATGAGCCCTGTTTCACTTCTTATAAGTGTTATGCTTTTCTTTGGATCAGACTTAGCAACAATAGTGAATTTCAGTGCTACAATAAGGCATTTAGGTTGAAACTGAATGTTTACCTACACTTTAATTACATGAAACCATTATAATTAAATGCATTTCAAACTATGTAAACAATGAAACAAATTCCTCCATATAGTAACATTAAATAAATAGGCAATGCTATTCTCTTTTCTCAGGACCAGATACCAATGAACCAATTATTCTTTACTGCTTTCCAAGAGGGCGTCTCATTGTATAGAGAGGATTAACATCTGGATCAATGCTCGCATGGTTTTTAATGAAGTCCTTTAGCTCTTAGAAATTATTGAAAAAGCATCTCCTGTGGAAAACAAAGATTAGTTTAGCTGGATGTCATGCTGAGCAACGGATGTTTTTCTTGGCTGGCTTACCACAAAACTGCTTCCATTCTCTGTATCAAGTAAGGATCTCCAGGCTTTAGTCCAGTAAACAAAGATTATTTTCTTGCCATTCAGTATGTGCTGTAGCTCCTTGGTTTTCTTTAAGGGTGAGTAAATTGGGCTGAATTCTGGCTGTTACCATCGCTTCTTTGCACTGCACTGTTCCCATAAAGGAGACAGAAAGGGACTCCTGGAGAAATCTATACCTATGACATAGACCTAACTAAGAAATCCTAAATCTCTTTCCTGTAAATCCCCATGCATTAATATTTGCCAGGATAAGGATTAAGCTGTGTGAGAGGGCTGTTGGCAAAGTGCTTGAAAGTATGTGCTGAAGTGCAAAGAACAGCAGTGAAAGACTGGCCTAAGGTACCAGCCTTCAGTATTTTTCCAAATTACTGCCAGGTATGCACTCAGCTCAGAATTAAAAGGAAAAAAAAAAAAAAAAAAAAACAAAAAAAAAAAAAAACCAAAAACAGCTTTAAAAGGTTTGTGAAGTTTTTCATGTGTTTTTTCTCTGTTCCCCCTATGCTGCACTCCCGATCGAGGGCAATTTCTGCGAAGATCATAGGTGTTCACCCTCAGCAACGTTTGCTGTGAGAATCAGCCACCCAGTGATTTTGATACTGTGTTCGCTCTTACTCAAAAAATGTACCGTACAGGACTCTAAATAACCCTGTCCAATCAAGTCACATGTACACCTGGAAAAGCAATATTTTGCTCCTCAGTGTAAGGCATGTGAGCAGCCTGATGAGACTGTGAGCTGATCCTTTCCTTGGACCCCAGATTTTATTCCTAAATCACTTTAGCAGTTTTCTCAAACTCTGTCAAGTCATTTTAGTTCTCTGTGCTTTCATCTACCCAGTGGCTTGCCACAGGGGCCTCTCTCTATGCAAGGGCTTTCTATAATAGTGTTGGTGCTGGCTCTAGCAGTGGTCAGGCTCAATAAATCTCAGTTGGTGAATAACTTTGATTTTTAGTTGAAGGGATAAATTATATCAGAAGAGCAATCATGGCAAAGTATTGTTCTGGTAGTGAATCAATGCACACTTAAAAATGTCCCATTATGGGACCTGTGTTTAATGGGATGACCACAGTATTCTGCAAGAGATAAGCAATGAAATCTTTGCTTTCCTTCTGAATATGAAGAAGAGTTCTACATATAAATGATCTTTTTTTTTTTTTTTTTAATACTCTCTTTTTAAATTAAAACATTCAAGGAGAGCTACACAGGAAAAGGGACCTTGGCTAACATCTTACAAGCAGTCATACCCACATTGATGAACAGCATGGCTCTGTGCTTTCCAATGGGGGAACTGGAGAAGTGAAATTACATCTGACAGGTTCATTTCTACATTACCACTATTTTTGGCTAAAGGCAAAATTGATTAAAAAGAGAAATTACTTGGGATGTAAGGAGTTGTAGTTGTGTTTCTATGCTGGAGTCCCAGCATTAATCTAGACTTGATGGCACTGGTTACAGGGAGAGAAAAGACAATTCTGTACCAATTTGTATCTGTGTTTATAAACTAAAGCACGGATGTAATATATATTTTTTTAATGCATGGGGTTTATGAATTCATATGTCGACACAAGAGCAGCTGGAAAGTGATGGAAGAAATATGTTTAGTAAGAAAAACCTGAGAATGGTGTGCTTAAGGTCAATCATTGGAATAAATACAGCTGCTCTGGAGAAAAATTATTGTGATAGTAAAATATGGAATTGTGACTATTTTTAATAGAAACATAAACACTTTTTATAGATTAGTGCATAGACAGGTGTGCAAACAAGGATGAAACATCTACCTTGTACGAATGAGCAAAGTGAGAAGTCTTGGGGAAAAAAACAAGTGATAAATAACAGATTCTGCTTTACCTTTTGTGTCAGTCCTGTTAGTCTGGTTTTGTTCAGTACTTTACATAAATAGCACTGAGGTTATGATATGGCTGTTTTTTGTTAATTAGCTGAATTGGCAAAAGATATTGACCAATTATGATACCAGTTAGGACTTGCAGTGTGAATACAGTTTGCATTACTTACGGTGTAATATTAAAAGGCAGGGGATTCTGTCTTTACATGTTTGGGGTATAAATTAACTCAATACAAACCCCTCCATGTAAGGAATCCTAATAACAAGTTAAAAGATTCTGTAAAGAAATAAATTATTAACATTTTGAGAAAGGATGAAGCTGCATAAACAAGATGAAGAATCCATCAGAACTAACAATCCAAATGTTTTTGCATTTCTCAACCTTGGAGGCCAGTCAATCTTTTAAATTACCTTTTTATATTTTTTGAAGTTAAAGTCCTATAACAACTACCTAAATGTAACTTTTTAATATTTCATGGATTGCACATCTTCTAATCTGTTCTTTATTTCATTTTTATGAAAATTACCTTTCGAATTAGTTTTCTTCATCCCAGGAAGACCCATATCTTAGGCATTATAATTTTTTAATTATCTTGATTTGTATACAGCTATGACTAGAGAAAATTTCATCCTGAATTTCCAAACTAACTACTGTGACATACATAGCATCTAAACGATGTTCCATATCCCTCACTGAAGAGTATTTTGGATGGTCTATTGAAATGTTTTCACTGAGGGACTTGAAGATGATTATTGAACTTTTGTGTTGCTTTCCATAAATGAGCTTAATTCCATAGTAATACTAATTGCAAACAGTTCAGATATTAATTACCATGGCTCCCCCTCCCCCCAGCCTTTCCTAACACCTTCCTTAAAAGATAGTCTTATCCCCAGGGAAACAAGTGGAAAGTTTTCCTTTCATGGGGAAACTGTAAGTGAGAAATTAGGCACACTGCACTGAAACATGATGCAAAGTGGTAGAGACTAAAATACCTTTACTAAACATATTTAATAAGTTGTTATCTCTCCAAGTTTTATCCTTACAAAGTTTTGACATCTAGTGATGTGCTTGGGCTAGGAGGGCCAGCACAAACCACTCCAGACCTGCCAGCATTTTCTTACCATCTGTCTTAACTCCAACTGTTTTTCAATGATAGAGGTCGGGAAAGGAGATTAAGCTTCTCTGATGTTATACAGTCACAACTGTTGTTATAAGGGAACTGGGGGATAGCCATGATGGCTGAGATATTCCAGTAGAGCGAGAAACCAGGCAAACCTCCAAATTTCAAGCAGGCAATTGTTTGGCAAGTAGTTCATGATAATCTAAATGATACCAGCTGAAAAAGCAAGCAGTAATTAAACAGATTAGTCAAGTGACAATATCGAGACTCTACTGCTGTACTCGTCTCCATAGGCTTCAGTCTTTGATGTTTCTTAATCTCTGAGGTCAAGACAGCTGTTCTCAAGCCTTCTTTGATGAGAAAAGCCAGGAGCAAGATGGGGGTCTTCACTCTTCCCCAAGCTATGCTATCACTGGTGCTTATCTATGCTTTTCTGTTGGAGAAAACCAATCTGGTCTGAGGGTTCACAATCGCTTTTCACAAGTCAGGACCAGTCTGTTCCAGATCGTCTGAACGGGTGTTACCCTGGTGCAGGTCCACCCTGGCATGTTCAGGTGAGCATGACCAGCTGGATTCTGGTCATCTGATTCCTTCTAATAGCTACAGACTGGAATAGCCAGCAGAATTAAATACTTTCATTATTTTTATGCAACTATGCCAAACAAGTATATGTGATGAAACATTTCACTTTCTGCCTTGAATTGAGCAGCTCTGCAACGTGCCTGGGGTGCGAGGCAAGCAGGCTGCATGTTACAGGGAGCTACAGTGGTCACCCAGCCACTCTCTTGGCTGGAACTCTCAAAGAATCCTCCTGTTTCTAGTCCTGATTAAGTCTATCAAACAGAAAAGATTGTATGCTGTCATACAGCATATGTCAAAAGAAGGAGATACGCAAAGAGTTTTCAAACTAAATTACCCAGAGGGATGAAATCTGAAGCAACAGTGAACCTTTGTACAGACCTGAGGACATCTAAGGTAAGGGTAGGGGTCTGGCCCTCAAAGGACAAAAAGCAAAAGCACAAGACAAGGCGGGGAGGTGAAAGTGGGCACCCAAGGAATGTAGGCTGAGACACACGCTCACTAACAGCACCGACTGTAGCTGCTTTCAGCAGCTTTTGTCATGTTTCACACTGTATCCTTTGCCCAAATATATTTTTCTTTCAGGGAAAGCTTTTTATACCTCTTCTAGCATACATGTGGTATGTGTTTTATCAGTCTTATCTCCAGCTGATTTAGACAATACTTTCCCCTGACTGCTCTCGCTTCTGCTGGTTCACTCAGATGCTTCATCTCCCATACAGTGGCTCTAAATTATTTGAATCTTTTGGATATGCCCCGGAAACCTTGCTAAATCGGTGTCTTTCAGATCAGCCATTCAGTCCCACCCAGAAGCTGGAAATATTTGACAACTTTCAGTGTTTTTTTTTTTCCTTCTATCAGGAACTTAGAAATACAGAACCCTGTGATAATGAATGAAAAGTTCTCCTTATGTAAAGCTGGTAGAGCTCTGCTGCACATTCAGATTGTATTTGAAGGAAAGATTAACATGCAGATGAGTTTTTGTTATTCTTCATCCCTCCTGCTTTTCCTTGTTTCCTTGTAATGGATTTTGATTTATTTGTTGATGGGACCAGACTTCTCTTTATCATCAGGAATGTCCACGCGTTTTCCACTAAGGAAGGGGAGGGGATGGTAAGATTTGTGTTATGTTTATTTGTGATTTTCCTTCCACTACAACTGAGATTTGAGAATTCCTGGTAAGGAGAACCTTTTTTTTTTTTTTTTCACTAGATACAGGTCTATAAACCAATGAGAATATATAAATATGTATATATGTACTGATAAGAATTATATAATACATTATGTAAGTAGCTGGAGGTAAAGCAAATTACTTTCTGTGTAAGAATATAAATGTGTTAGGGAATTTTCCAAGCTGAGAAAGTTTCTACTGTGTATTTTCGTCATTGTGTCATTCTTGTCAGAGAAAAACTGCCAAGAATTTTAATGTAACCTGAATTCATTAGTAGTTAGTAATGAATCTATGATTCTACAAAATGCCTGCAGAACAACCATAAACTCTGTATACATTTATCTATTTTAATAGTCTTCCTATAGCTATCCTAGGTCAAATACATATTCATCATACATCTGTCTTTACTTGCTGGCAAGCTAAGCTAATAATATATGCATTAGTCTGTGCTGTACCAAAGTTGTGTGTAAGT